TGAGAAGCTGGTGCCTGGAGCCGGCCCTGGCTGTCATAATGATTAAATGGTGGATTAAAACAACTCTTCATATTTTGTAGCTGCAGAACACATTATTTTAATAAATGCTGAAGGTCATTTATGTATCTCAGTATTTCTGTGAAAGCATGATGGAAACAAGTAAGATGGATGAACATGATATACCACATACTTAATAAAATTGGCACATATGCAGCTTGGCAGTACAACAAGACATTCAAATGATTAAAATACTTCAGGCTCCACAACATAACACTATATTGGATTATGTACCTTTTAGAAAATTCTAACATAAAATGTGTTTCTGATCTACTATAGCATTGTGTGTGCAGTTATTCTTTTACTTGTACTAGAAAATAGCAACCATTACTCATTGGTACTATAATTATTGTTTTATGGAAATTATTAAGGTTTACAGGTATAAGAGCAATGGAGATTAAAAAGCAGAATTTAGTAGGGCTGTCTGTAACACTAGAAAGAAAGGAAGTCAACTAGTAACTGAGAGAGAATAAAATTGACAATGATTTTGAAGTGATCTACTCGGCTTCTTTTTTTCTTTTGTTTTTTAACAAGACTAGGTAAAGAAAAGGGAGAAAGTATTGGTGCCCTTCTTATTTTCTGTTGCTAAAAAGCAGGCAAGGGAATGCTTGGAATGGTCAAACTGTACAAATCAGCAGGTCTGAATGATATGCATTGTAAGTTGTTAAGGGAATTAATTAGTTAATGAACTTACTAAACCACTGGCAATTATTCTGAAATGTTATGGACAGCTGCAGAAGCCTGCAGGATGGAAATAAATGTGGTATCAGTGTTGGAAAGAGAACATTTTTTGTTCAGTGCATATAACTTCAATCTCTAGTAAAATAAATATTATGAGAGAATGTGTGAACACCTGGGGCTAAACCTGAAGCTTTTCCTTAATCTTTACTCAGGAAAACTCCTTGTGATTTCTTAGTAAGGAAAAAGGCATTTGCCTAGTCTTCAGTGAAAACGCTCGCATGCTTAAAGTTAGGCACAAGCTTAAGAATCAGGGCCATAGTGAGACTTCAGGGTTTGATCATGAGGAGTTAATAAAACTGTGATTAATAAATATCAAGTGAGACATAGAATTCACTGTGATGGCGAAACATTGAAAGCCGTAGGAACAATAATAAACATCCAGTTATTGTAGATATGAGTTTGCAGTGCAACATGGAGGCAAAAAAAGGCCCAAGTGTGATTTTGGTCTTCATACAGTATGCAGAGTCGTTTCATGGATTAGGAAGGTAATTATACAGCATTGATTAGATGACAACTTTATTATGCAGAGGTCTAGGTGTGACATACCAGGGTACAATCCAGACTAATTAGCTACTGTGTTACCCCTGCCCTGAAACCTTGGGTGCCTTACAGTGCTTTGCTGAAGCACCTCCCATGTGGACCGCTCACAATAACCTGTCAGCATGCAGTCCACAGCCTGAGTATCTATGTGCTACTGCAGCCAAACCAGTCTTGGTTATACTGCTGGGTGACCCCAACACATCCCAGATATTCCCCAAGAAATGTATGTCCTGTACTGCCCAGCATTCTCCTGGACAGGACAAATTATATTAGGTCATTTATTTCTTTAATAGAAATAATATGTATACAACTTGTCACCTCAAATGGAGTTTCCCAGACACTTCAATTTAAACACACTGGATTAGATAAAACAATAAAACAAGTTTATTAACTACAAAGAGATTTTAAGTGAATACAAGTAATGAGGCATAAAAGCCAGATATGGTTACAAAAAAAATAAAGATAAAACACTACTGGTGCCTAATTTAACAAACTGTTTTTTCACCACATGTTTTCAGCAGTCTTACTGGCCAAACTTCTTAGGTCAGGACCCCTCCCTCAGTCCAATGGCTACTTTCTTTTTGTTTCTTTGGGTACAGTGGGCGGGGGGAGGGGGTGACTCTGGCATGTCTGTCCCTTCTTTTTATAGTTCTGTCTCCACTTCAAGAACCATTTCCAGCTGGGAGCAAGGCTACAGGCAGTCTGTATGGAAAGGAACTCCATGCTATTTCTTTGCTAAGATGTAGGTTTTTTGGCCCCCGCCCCCGCTCCTACCAAAGAATGGTCACTTAACAGGTAATGGGCATCAGCCTTATTTACACTTGGGGCAGCTCTATGTATTTTGCTGTCCCAAGCACAGCAGTGAGGCAGCCTTCGGCAGCATGCCTGCGGGAGGTCCACCGGTCTGGCGCCTTCAGCGTACCCGCCGCCAAATTGCCGCCGAAGCCACAGGACCGGCGGACCTCTCGCAGGCATGCTGCTGAAGGCTGCCTGACTGCCACCCTCATAGTAACTGGCAGGCTGCCTCCCGCGGCTGGCCGCCTCCCGCGGCATGCCGCCCCAGGCACGCGCTTGGTGAGCTCATGACTGGGGCCGCCCCGTTTACACCAGACTGGAGCGTCCGCTTACCCTTTGTTTCTGAGAAACTGGTTTGGCCACTCCCCAGGCTTCTCTGGAAAACATACTTTTAGTCATGATCTCAGCTTATGTTTATAACTTCACATATAACACTGCTACATGCTTGTTGCCATGATTTTATTGACCATGAGTTTTTAAATACCTCACAAGACATGCCTTGTACAGAAATTGTTACAATGGTGTGTAGGGTGTGAACATGGGAGTATATTCTGTCACACTAGGCATCTCACTACCTGAAATATTTTGACACATTGAGAGAATTCAGAGAACAGCAGCTGGTATAAAGAAAGGTTTGGAAGAATGACTTATCAGCAGAAGCTACAAAAATGAAATGTATCAATAAGGGTAGAGGAGAGTGTTTGTTTGATGAGCATCCATAAATATCTCAAAGATTTACAATCTCGTGGAGGGAGGAAAATTGTGTAGGATGGTGGAAAAAACTCTCTCTGTCTCTTTGCCAGATTACACATTTGCCTGTTAAAATTAGCAAGGGTGGGAAAATACTCTGTGTGATTGGTCTCCCAGAGATTCCTTCACCTGGGTCTATCAGAGAGAACTAGCTTGACCTCCCGATTGTGAAAGAGGTTGTGGAGCCATTCTGAAGAGCCTGTAGATCCCTGGAGATTTGTGTAGGCCGTGGGGATCCACAGGAACCCACTGCCAACCCTTACTTATGTTTGGTGGTACCTTACTCTGCAGATAGTCCCCTTGACTTTATATGGAGTTAAGATACTACTCATTGGAAGCAGGAACATCACAGTTTGACCCATGACTATTATAGTCAGTTGTTCTGACCTTGAACTATCAAAATGTGCATTCTGTATTAGCACAGTTGCTTGATTACTGTAGCTCCATGGTCTAATGCTGGGGTTGGCAACGTTTGGCACGTGGCTCACCAGAGTAAGCACCCTACTGGGCCGGGACAGTTTATTTACCTACTGACGCGGCAGGTTTGGCCGATCATGGCCCCCACTGGCCGCGGTTCGCCGTCCCGGGCCAATGGGGGCGTCGGGAAGCCGCAGCCAGCACATCGCTCGCCCGCGCCGCTTCTCGACGCCCCCATTGGCCAGGGACAGCGAACCGCGGTGAGTGGGGGCTGCGATCAGCCGAATCTGCCGCATCAGTAGGTAAATAAACTGGCCCGGCCCACCAGGGTGCTTACCCTGGCGAGCCGCATGCCAAACTTTGCCGACCCCTGGTCTAATGGAAACATTTAAGCTCTAAGCTGAATATGATGGGTAAAAAATTAATGATAATGGGATCTCTTAGGAGTAGTCTCCCAAGAGAAAGTGTGAAACCCTTGTTGGTAAGGATATTTGAAACTATACTGGAAATAGATATATTAGGGAATGCTCTTGTTGGAAACAATCCTGCATTGATGGAGAGAAGACTCAGTAACCTAACAGGTTTTTACCAACTTGTTTAATTACATGAAAAATAGGAACAGATGTAAAACTGCAATCCATAATTTATTACCTAGTAATACATAGACAATAAATGTATATGACTTAGACACTTTAAAAATTGAACGTACATTGATTCTTATACACATTCTAGTCTCATCACGCTTTACAGATATAGGCCCTTATTCTGTATGCTAAATGCCCTTTAAACCAATCTGACAGTGCAAATACCTTCCCCCCCCCTCACCTTAAAGCCCCTTTATGCTTTGGTGTAACAGAGAATTGGTGTAACAAAATTAAGTCAACTTAGTGTAGTCTATGGACTAGTATTAGATGGTGTAATGTATTTTGGATGGAATATTTATGTGATAAAAGTTTACATATGTTCACAAGTTGCAGATGCAGTGACATTCTGTTTTCTCTTGCCCATTATCTTCTGGTAAAGACTGTCTTTGATTTTTATGATTCTCCTCAAAGTGCAAGCTGTTTACTCAAAATGTCTTGACCATCTTTATTTTCTGTTTTCAATGTAAATCTACAAAACCCTTTTTTGTTGAATCTTTTGGAAATGCTATATACTTCAGTCATGAAAGCTTAAACAGATTCTGTGTGGAACTAAGGCCAGAATATATTGTAGCTGGAAATGACTGTGTTTCTGCCTATACTTCCACCAGTCTGGACTTCTAATCAACTTTTAAATGCAGAAGGATTTGTGGCCCAATTCTGCATATGCTGTACATCTAACTCCCAATGAAGCTAATGTGAATGTTAGCTGTGCAAATAATGCATGATCAGACCCTTATTTTCTATAATGAACAGTCCTTTTGTTTATCTGAGGGATTTGTGCACAAGGAAGCCACAGGAAAAAAAAATCTGGATTCAAACTTCCTTTTAAAAGCTGCAAGTCTGTAGCTTCTAGCATTTTTGTTTGATGACTAAGAATTCTGATGCTACAGAGGTCTATTAAAAATGTCTAGCATGAAGTACATTTGATGCCTTAAGCTATTTATATCAGTCTTTTTAAAATGAGAAAATAACCAGCATAATAAAAATAATTTCTGTGCTTTGTTACAGCATTAGCTCTTACCTGACATTTGTCATTGTTTCTCTCTCCCTTCACAGTGCATTGAAAGCTACAAAGCAGAAACGATACAAGTTGAAAGATGTTGACAAATGAGTGATATGCGATCAAGTGTCTGTTGTGCCCCTGGCCAAGAAATTTTAAAATACTAGGGTAAGGTTTGTATTTAACTTTATTTCCTTTGCAAGTCAACTGCTTTATGTAGTAAGTGTATAGGTCTGTTGGCTCACATTAGGTGAAATGATTTTGTCAGTCAACAGTTGAGAAGTAAAACGGATAATGCTTAACTTATTTCATTCAAATATAGATGAACTCTAATATCTACTAGTTCATTTCTGAGTTGATTGGTGACTTTGAAAGCGATGCTGATCACTTTTGCTAAACATTGGTCTCAACAACTTAAAAAAAGTAAGTATAATAGAAAGCAATTCAAAATTCCATAAAGAGTAGTAAGAAATAATGTGTGAAATCCTGAATTCACTGAAGTCACTGGAAACCTCCTCCTCCATTGACTTGAGTGGGTCCAGAATTTCACCCAGTGAACCAAATTCTAAGCCCCACTATAACTGCTTTGCGCTGCTAGTTGGCTTAATGCCACCTTTGCCTCCCCCTGAGCGGATGTAGCCCAGAATCAGATCCAGCATGTTCATATGTAAGTATTTATTAAAATTTTAGTTCTGTATTTTCAGTGCTATTGTGCATGACAAGGTCCATAAGAAAATCAGTAGGCCAAATTCTTCCTTTGGATACAACTGTACAAGTCTCATTTAAGACAGACAGTTGTGCATGAGTAGATGAGGGCTGTCTTTGCTCCACTAGTCCAATTCTACTTTAGCTGAAGTCCGTAGCAGAACTCCTCTTGATTTCAGTGGCAGGAGAGTCACGCACAATAGCACTGAAAATCCAGAACTTAAATTTTAATAAATACTTTCATATGAACATGCTGGATCTGATTCTGGGCTGTATCAGCTCATGGGGAGGCAAAGGCGGCATTAAGCTTTTCTTCCACCATAACATTTACACTGGGGAAGAGGTAGAGGGATGACCAAAAAGAATAGAGAGCTTCCTCAATGCCCCTTGCCATACTGAAGATAAAATGTTAAGCTTCCTTAATGCGTTTGGCTTTGAACATTTGTTTAGAAGTTTCAAGAGAGAATGTTGCATATCACAGTCCCTGAAAGATAACCTAAAAATTACATTCTGCAATGAAATACTTTTGTTTTTATAACTTAAAATTGAAGTGGGTGAACTTTCAAATTTGGATACAGGGAGTTGTTCAAAAAACATCTGTTAGTGGGAAAGAAACAATAAATGTTAGTGTATCATTATCTCTTAGATTGTACAAGCTGGCATTTTCCATGATCAAACATTGATAAAAGTTGTATACCTACTCAGGGTCAAGGAAAGAAACATAAAATTAATGAAATGGTGCTTGAAAATATGAATTTAGTAGATGGCTGAGGGCTAAATTGTGTTGACCCTATTCATGTATCATAGTACAAAATGGAAATCATCATTTGTGTTGAGCAAACCACTAAATTTGCCTGAGGGCTGCTTATTGTAATACGTTTCAGACAGTTGCCTTACCCAGAAAGACGTTATTGACCCTATCACAGAGAAGTCATCATGGCAGCAATCTGGAGCCACCGACTTTCAATGACTCTAAACCTTTGGCCTACCCTCATGGAACAGTGGTTTCTCACCTGGAGGGGGCTGGAGATTCCCAACTTGAGCATATGGCACAGAAGAGAGACCCTACTGAAGAAAAGGATTCTGTACTGTGCAGAGGGGACCAAACATAGCTGCATGTAGGATGGTCTTGCAGGAGAGGACAAGAGGGACTCTGACCAGCCTGAAATGCTGACAAACCTTGGACTCATGTAAGGAGTGAGATCAAACTAGGGGAGGGAGCATTTGAGGACTTTGGATTATTTTCAAATATCTGAACCTCCAACTGCTTTTTAAAAAATAGGTCACAATGATTAAGAAATTCCTTTTGCTAAGCCGGTATTCCTTACTTTCCTGACATGTTGTCCCCAGAGGGGTTAACTAGAAGACCAGGATGCTCACAGCCTAGGTGGAGTTCTGGAGGATGGTGTGAAAGCAACTGGGTGTTTCAAGAGGTCTCACACATTGATTTTGGGATCTACACTGGCTGTGCATCAATGCCCCATATCCCAAAGATGGATGTCAGAGAAGAGTTCTGAACCTGAGGGTATGCCCTATAGAGCCCCAGAGCTAGAAACAGTGACTAGACTTTACCCAGACCAGTTTGGAGGCTTGTGGGACCCCAATATCTGGGACAACTTACAACAGAGTGGTGACCATATAGTGGGGTTCTGGGGCACATTACACTGCTCTACAGCCAAAATGCTTCTGAAATAAATGAAGTCAAACTTTACTAATTCTGGGTCA